TTCTCAAAATCAAATATCTGATCACCACACTACAGGATTTTACATAAAAGGAAATTGATGGCAAGAAAAAGTCCATCATCCATCCAGAATAAACACTACTTCATGCTTGATAATCTCCAAATTAAATACATACACATAAACCTACAAAGGAAATAAGGAAAGGAAGATATATCAGGAAAAGCAAACAAATTACAGGGAAGCATCTTTTCCCCCAATTTGACACTGCTCTCTCTCAATCGTGAAATAAAACCGGTTACATTGCAAAGAGTGCAGTCATGGGGGAGGTTTATTTACCTCAGAACAGAGCATGAAACTTCTCCAGCTCACAGTTGCTCCCTTGCTACAAGGTAATTCACTAGGTTACTTCCCAGGGCAGCGGGCACAGATCAGGATTCACAGAAGTCTGCACAGGCCAGGACAGAAAGGCTGATGGAATTGCATGGGACATGCTCCTATCTGTATCGGGGAATCCCTTAATATTTAAGGCTGCTTTTAAATAAAAATAAAAATAATTAAAAAAAAAACAGAAAACCCACACATTTTTCAAGACTTTTGCTTAAAAAAAAAAATCAACTGAGAAAATGCATACGTGATTTTTTTTTCCATACAAGAACAAGGAGAATAGGAGCAACCTTTATTTTCTCCTCCTGCAGTACCTTTAATAGCAGATAGAGCTTCTTTCTCTCCCTAACTACAAAGTGGAGCAAAATTACTTTTTGTTTACCTGTTACTGAGAGAGTTTGTGCCACCCGAACCTTAATAATTTTTACACAATAATTGTCATAATTTCTACTTATTTCATTTCCACAAATGTATTCAATATGAACTTGAATCTTAAACTAGAAGCAGCTCTTCAACATTTCAGAAAGCCTGAGATGCTCCATAAATACAGCTAAAGACAGACAGTGACTTGCTTCTTCCAAAGCAACTCATGCCCCAGAGTTCAGGAAACACGTGCAGTAAGGCACTGCCTTATATATTTGACAGCAACACAGCCTACCCTCAAAGTTCATAAAGAAATACAGAATTAGGAAGACTCCTCTGATGCCAACACAGACATTTTGGAGTCAGCTGCTTACAGCCAATGTGGAGGTGGAATTTTATTTTTTGCAAAACTTGCATGCAAAAATAAACACTCCTTCGGGTGGCTTCAAAATTACTTCCCTAGCCTAAAAGGCAGGTGACCATAGTCAACACTGGGGAAATAAAGGACCATCTCATGCAAAAGCTACGACCATTTAGCCTTCGTCTGAGGGTTAGGATCATGATTTGAGTAAACAGTCAGTGACTCTGGAAATTCATCAAATGCTTAATTGCCCGTGGTAATAATATAACAACAGGAATATTCTGCCCAGCTGAATGTCTTCTGTGTTAATAGCATACACTCAGAAACTAGAATATTTGTGCCTCTTTAGACTGCTGTTTTGTCATTCTGTGTGGTACTGTCCTTTTTATTTACACCTCCTTACCGATCCAACTTCATCTGTTGCTGCTTTTGCTTTACAGACTGCAAAATCTTTGGGGGTGAAGATGGCCTCTCTGTTACGTATCCATAGAACAACCATAACAATGTCCATACAATGTCAACAGCGATCCATGACCGGTGGAATACTACTTCAGTATTATTATTAGAGACATTTTCTCCTGGATTATTATCCAATCATGCTATCCAAGAAAAAAATATATTTCTAGTCTTCCATATTTCTGGCTATCCAGCATGCAGGAAAAAGGTCTTCTGAGGCCATTTTCTTCTCCTGAGGCCAAATTCTGAAAAAATTACCTTTATATACTCCTTAAAGATATGACAGTTCAATACTAGGGCTTACTAACAACAATTTTGGATGGGGGAAAGAAAGAGGAAGGAAAGAGACAAAAATTCCATACAATTCAAGAAAATGGTGAATGAAGAATGCAGAAAACATGGGTGAAATTCATCTGCAGATTGATAAGAACAGCAAAACTAAGGTCAACTGAGAGATCCAATCTTTGGACATGGGCATTCTCTAGCTTCGTGCTTCCTCATTCAATCAAATCTTGAACATTTCCAAGGGTGGGGATTAAATAGCTTCTCTGGACCCATCTTTCAGTTTTTGAAAACCATCATGGTAATACTGCTTTTTTTCTTTTATTGAAAAACTTCCCAATTTCTATCCATTGCCTTCTGCAAAGTGCTCAGCTCTGCTTTCTCTACATCCTTCCATTTGCCAGAAGTAAACAATAAGCAGTAAGATCTCTTCAAGCCTTCTCTTCTTAAGGCTCCACAGCCTATGAAATTCAGGGAACTCAACCCTTTACACTCTTTAAATTGTATGAGCATCTCTCCTATTTCTTTTGCTAAAATTTTCAACAACCATAGTTTTTAAATGATTTTTTCAAAAGGGAATCTCCTATAAAGAGAGAGGATTGAAAACCTCTGTGTCAACAGCAGAATTTGCCATACACTCAAGTTCTTGCCAGCATTAGCTTCCACGTCCCACACTGACAGCTTACCATTTCACAGTAACTCTACCTGGGTCATCAACGGGAACGAGCACTGCTGCTAAGGTTTCAGAAGAATAGACTTCAATTTCTTTTGATTTAGGAATTTGGTCTTTAAATTATCAGTTCCCAAACTGCAGATTTTGGGGAGTAAGAACAGAGTGGGGAAATTTTACAGAGAAACATTATAGAGGTGGTGTTCAGCCTCATAAGCCTTCTTGAGAAAAGCTTATGGAACCAGCCAAGGAACTAGTACAGAGAAGGGGAAAAGAAAACGAGCGAGTCTCAAGGTATGAAGGAATACTGCATTTTTAAGTAACTGCAGTAGGTTTCATCATCTGCATAAAACATTCCTCTCTACATAAAAATATTCCTGCATAATTGAGACCCTAAGATTGGAGTTCAAACTTTAATAAAGGTTGGTCACTACAGAAGAACAGGATAATATACCAAGCTACGCTCACAAGTTCACAAGCCATGAAGAGTCCCAGAGCAATTCCCACATCAAAGCATGTCTAATGCAAGGCTGATGGACATGAGGAGTTGATGTAAAACACAAATTCACTAATTCTGGAAAAAATGCCTGCTGAATTTGAGGCCATCTTAATACCTGGATCTAGACACTCTTCCAACTGACCCTCTCCCAATTGACCCTCAAATCCTCTTGAGCTGCTTGACTACATGGAGGCTAATGTTTTCTCCTACCTGTGAAATCTTCGTGGTTTTCTCTGTCTCAGCTCTAGACAGTTTGTAACGCACGGGAGGCTTTCCCCTCATTTTGGTTACACCTTATTCTATGATAACCTTTACTTCACTGCACAAACCTTCACTTTGCTCACTATGATGGCAAAATGTATGTAATTGGAACATATATTAAGACATAAATCAGTATCTTGTTATTTCGTATGTCCTTCTGCAGAGTCAGCATGTTTCATGTATATTTTAAATTGAAATGCTCAATCCATTCAATTGACATGTAAAATATGATGATGTGTCTAAGGCAGCAACAATTTAATTTTCCAACCTGTGATATGTACAAGTAGGAGGAGCTGTGTTTCCTTAGAAATTAAGAACCCTACTACTACTACCACCTCATTAACAAATATTATTAGATCTTAAACTGCTAAGACTCATATATAATGTACGCAATATTTACAAGTAGTAAAGAAACTAAGCATTTAATGCCAAAGTAAAAAAATAAGAAAAATAAAAAGACAAAACTGCATTTAAAATCACAGTTACATATAAGCCAAAAAATGGAAAGACGTGACATTTTCAAAAATACCACGGATACAATTAATTCAATTTCATAAACGACCCAGCATTTTAATGAAAAAAGTTAATTCTCACTGGAATTTTTAGAATGTAGATGAAGAAAAATTAACATGCAATTATACCATCAAATTATCATAACTTTATTTTAAAAATCAAAGGAGTGAAGCCTCCTGTATCACTGCTACTTACGGCATCTTTTGTTAGTTTATTTTAAACTCTGTTTTTATTTCAAGCCCAGATTTCTACACCAGCATTATTCTAAAATGATAATCAACCAAGACTGATAGAATTCCCCAGTAACCTGCAAAAAGTGATGATGCTTCCATTAATACCCAGTGTTGAGCAACTCAACTTTTCCTAAATTTCCCAGGATGGCAAGTATACTTTAGTTTCATTCTTTCACTTCCAGATCATCTCCCCGTGACTGAAAGAGCTGAGCCTGTGGACAGAACTTAGCCAGCACATATAGCAACATGAACTACAAATATCCAAGATTTCTTCCATGCATAAATTTGGGCTATTTCTCAAGCTGATAGAAGTAGATCTTAAAAAAAATATATCACTTAACTGACATACAAAACTCAAATCAAGAACTGCAACAAGTATTGAATTTCGCAGTTTAAATAACTGGATTTGCAAACTGAAAACATTCAAATCCATACATTTAATATCAATTAAAAATATTTCTTAAGTGGCTCCCTTGACAAAGCAGTTCCAGAAGGCCTTGAACTTCTCTAATTGCCTCAAAAATGAAGCAAAGTGAAAACCAAAACCATGTCTCCATATTAGATGCAGCAACTATCAATAGCATGTCTTGTTAAAAATATTTTTTTTTAACAGAAAAATTTTTTTAAACAAAAAACAAAGAAAGTCTAACTTTCCCTGACATCTGATCAAGAAACCGCTGCATCTTGTTTTTGGAAAACAAAACAAAAAGACCACACACAATTAACAGCTATTGTGGTATATAAATTGGTTTTATTCAAACAAACTGAATGAAAACAAACCCTGAAAGTGTGTGCATGTGTATTTGTGCTGAAAACAAACCCTGAAAGTGTGTGTATGTGTATTTGTGTGTATATCCCCCAAGACATTTCAAAAACAAGTTGTCAGATTCCTTAACTTTGTTTTTAACCATGCTACCTTAGGAAGAGGTGAGGTGGGGTTGAATTTTGTTTGTTTTCACACAGAATGCTTTTATATTTCATGCTCCAGGGTGACCGTCAGCAATGCGAGACTGTGCTTACCTGCTGAGCCTGGTACCTCTGCTGGGCCTGCGAGAGATACTGTGCCTGGGGTGGCAGATGCTGAGGCTGTGGCTGCTGGTTGTAATAGGGTTGCTGGCCCTGCTGGCAGTAGCCGCTTACACCTTGCTGACCATACTGAGGCGGGATCTGTTAGGAGAGTCAAGTAAAGCAAGAATGTGAGTCAGAACACAGGATAACATGAAGCCAAGGCAGGTTACAGCTACGTGCTAACCTCAGCGCAGCTGATGCCGTCAGCTGTGAGCCTGGCTCCACTCTTTCACTCAAGGGTAAGTGCAAGTCCTTAGATCCTCTTGCGCTACACCAGCCTGAGCTCTATAGAAACTCCATAGACCTTCTCTTTTCAGGAAAAACATCTAAGCGAAATACTGTGCTCTGAACATCACAATCCCATATATCCAGTCTCAAAATACAGAAACAGTTATTTTAAATATGGCAGTTATCCATAGGCACACTTCTCAGGTAAATCTAGAGAAGAATTACCTAAGGCAGTCACCCAAAATTAAAATCACAGATAGAAGGCATAACTCTAAAATAGGCTTTGAAAGAAAAATGCACTATTTTTCTTGTGAAATCTCTTGCCAAGCAGCCCCAGATTTTTAATTCTATGTCCACATGCGTTTAAACTTTCCACAAAAATAGTTGTGGTTGGGCAGTTTTTGGTTTTTGTCAAGTTCAATCTTTCTCAGACTACTCCCTTGCTAAGATGAATCTTTTGGGAAAACAAACAAACAAAAACAGAATAATGGATTCAAGTGAACAGTGCAACATAAAATAACCTGCTACCCATCCTACTAAGGGGTAAATCAACACACATCATACAATGAAAAAAAAATATCGTAATATCTTAAAAATCAGACATCCAACAAGCTCACATTGCCCCTATTTCAGGGGCTTGTGACTCCCCACCCTAACATTGGTATTTTATATTATTTCAGATGACAGACAAAACACAAGATTTCTCCCTTCTAGGATGGTTGTGTCAAATTTCAAGCTTCTCTGTCCTATGCAGATGCCTTGGATCTCAGGATATATGAAATGGTACTACATACCAATGCTTAGATATCTGAATTGTTCCCCATTGAGTCTCTGATACATAGATAAATCTGTTTACTGAACATATAAATACATGCCCATTCAGCCTAAGGTTAACTGATTACATTCACACAGCAATATTTGCTAGGCAATAATAATAATATAAAGCCAAATTTAAACATGTGTTTAAAATTCTATGTCTAAGAACAAGCTGTTGTTTTTACTATCACAACTTAATTTGTTCCTATTACTTCTGTCAGAGGTTGATAGCCGTCCTTGCTAACTCCCAGTATCAGCACTGCAACCCCAGGCTTGGCTTGCACTTCCTTTTCCTTCACCCTTACCTGACAGGCAACTGATACTGTGACCTAATTAACCCCTTTTGAAACACCTTCTCCTCTGCTGATGCACAGATGAATCGGTAAAAACGCCAACTAAAATGAGTTTCTTGGAATTACCACTGGGCAAAGAGACAGCTGGAGTCAGGGATCAGAGCGCAAACCACATGGCGACAGGCCTGCCAGCAGTAACCGCCACAGCGCCTCGACCGCTTCCTAGGAAGTGCTGAGGAGAAGCCTACGGCGCGGCCCACCTGGCCCCAGTAACGCTGGGAAGGGAAAGGAGGAGATCCTTACAGCGAAATATAGGCTAGGGAAGTGAGGAAAGGCTGAGTTTAAATGCCTAGCTGACAACATGCTGTAAGAGCAAGAAGTTGGATTCATCAGAAACTGGAGCATTTCTGCAGTAGCGGTATTTGTACAGGATGGCTGGACACTCAAACACAGGAATAAGGTTGCTGGTATCTTTAAAAAACAAAGAAGCAAACAAACAAACACTTCCTTTATTTTAACTGAAGAGAAGAGTTTAGAAGAAACAGAGGGTTCAAGTACAACATTTTATTACAAGTAAAGACATGGAAATTCTGGGTCATCAAGTGAGGACTGTGAGAAAAAGAAAGAATGAAGGCAGAAAAATTGACTTCAGACTAAGCAGGTGACAAGAAGCAAGTCCAACAGTACACGGGCTTCTGCACAAAGGCTGGGAGCACTAGAAAACCAACTTCAAACAAAAGCACTGACACAGCAGTCATAGGGCCAATTTGGTAAAACAATTTTCCACAAAAATTGTTTCCACAAAACAAATTTCCACAACAGTGGAAGCCTCTTTCGTATCACCCCAGGACACAGAACGCACAAGACAGACAACCAGTGGTGAAGCCACACTATACACAATGGCGTGTTTAGAAACGCGTCAAAACAAACCCCTGCCTCAACAAGTGTCAGAGGCCTGAAGTTACCAACCACATGCATTACTTGGGAGAAACCAGTGCCAGGACCGTCATGCACAGCCAGGCAAGGGCAGCACTGACAGCACCACGCTGAGCGAGCCCAGCTAATGCAGGGTACAACAAAATGGTAGCGGGAGGTTTCAACAGACCGCGGGCAGGCTGAGCAGGGGGAATATGACGCAGTGACCAGGTGACTACCAAAGGCTGTTCCACAGAGCTGCTGCTCTGGGCACCTGCGCAAGGAGACATGCAGCTTGGTTTAGTCCCTAGCAGGGCAAGTAACCCCCTTCTCTGTCCTACACGGTAGAGCTAATACGTGTCAGGGGCCATAACGCATTTCAGTAGAGCATTAGTTGCACAGAACTGACAAAAACTAAGCAGACCACCATACTTGTGCTTAACTTCAAAACATCTTAACTACATAAAATGGGGAAATCTTGTTGAAATGAATTTATAATAGACAGCTAGAGAATGAAAACCTGACTGGCAGCAAAGTAGCTTAACCACCAACCACACACAAAGCACAGAACTCATGTTCACCACCTACTAACAGAGACTCGGGAAGACCAAAGGGACATCAGCATGGCTCACAGCAGGTTGCTTAAGCTAAATGGCATTCTTCAAAAAGCCAAAATCAAGTCAAAATGAAGAAAATAGAAAAGACTGTAAACTCTAGCACTTTAAATCTAACAAATGAAGGCAGGCCAGAATGAGTTGGACTAACAGCTATGAAGGGGAATCAAATGAGCAATAAATCATTCTTCAAACACATGAGGAGCAGGAGGTCTGCCAGACAGTCTGAAGTGCCAACTGATGATCATGGCATAAAAGGAGATTCAGAGAAAACAGGGCCCTCAAAGAGAAGCTTAATGACTTTTCTGCACTGTAGTGAACTGTGGAAAAATCTCAGGTATATTCCCATGCTGGAATCCTTTGAGAGGAACTCAAAGAGTGCCTCTGAAACTGATGGGGCTATGGAGCAAACTGGCAGGTAATGCTCAAGAACACACAGTATCACCTACAGGTCTAAACAAACTCCAGAATAAAATAGCTTAATCGGTATGGTCCTGGTATGAAATGTGCAACTCGGAGCTTCTTTGGTATCTGGCGTATGACTCAAAAAAAAAAAAAATCTGATTATTTCAGACTGTAAAGGACTGACGACTGTTCTACATAAATCAGTACAAGCAAGATGAAGATCACAACTAGGAAACATCGACATTGCTTTTGCAAACTTATTAGATTTATCTGAAAGGGTCAAACACAAATATCCTGATTGCTGCCACAAGAACGATCAAAGGCATGGAACAATTTCCATCCAAAGAGGATGATTACCCAGAACTCTTCAAGTCTGGAAGACAGACAATGAAGTGAGAGAATGATAGAAAGCTACAAAATCATAATGCCCAAGCCAACAATCAGGAGGCATCGAATGAAGCTGGTTGAAGAAAATTTCATAGAACCATAGAATGCTTAAGGTTGGAAGGGACCTCTAGGGGTCATCTAGTCCAACCCCCCTGCACACGCAGGGTCACCCAGAGCACGTGGCACAGGACTGCGTCCAAGCGGGTTTTGAAGATCTCCAGAGAAGGAGACTCCACAACCTCTCTGGGCAGCCTGTTCCAGTGCTCTGTCACCCTCACTGTTAAAAAAAAATTTGCTTAAGTTCATGTGGAACTTTTGGTGCTTCAATTTGTGGCCATTACCTCTAGTTCTGTCTAAGTTATTATCCCTAGAAATCTACTTCTACACATTGTTATTAAAAGAAAAAGTTAATGAATTATTTTAGTGACCTTATATAATAGCTATTTATGTTAGGGTTTTCCTCCATACTCTCTCAACCAAGACTATTTATATTCTCCATATTCTTCAGAGCAGAGATCCATAACCACTGCTCTCGTAAAACACTCAGTATATTTTCTGTTGCTATTTAAATAAATAAAAAGCAACAAAATGCAAATTAATCCTCCTGCTTTACAGATGGGGAACACAAGATGCCGCTTATGGACAAATGTTTATTAAACAGCATATAAAAAGATCTTAATTAAAATCTCCCTGGAACAAAACAGATCTGAAGCCAATTACTTAACAATGCTTGGCGTGAGTGACCCAAGCATCTTTTTCCTTTGTAAGGCAATGCCCCTCTGCCTTTCACACTTGGAGCACGTTCGCTGTAGCCCACGCAAGCCGGGAGAGCAGAATTTGGGAAGTTTTAGCGTGCCCGTGGCAACACCACCATTCTTTGCACACTACAGACAGAACGGATCTGAGCTTGAATTTATTTCCAGGTTGAGAATAGAAGCTGTAATAACTCCTTTGCCTCCTATCTGACTTGCACAGTAGAAATAACATTATTTTGAGAGAAGTATGACTGACCATCAGTGATTAAATCACTCTGGCTTCTAAGAAAGAAAGGATGAGAATAAAAGAGGAATGAAATTGGCAGCTAGAATGAAGAGATGGGAAAAAGCCAATTAAACCTACAACTTGGCCCATTATGTTTAATTCTTGCTTGAACAAGGGGTCTTGTAGCAGACATTCTTTGTCCAGCTAATACCTCAATAGTAATGGAAGTTTTAAGCAATTTTTGCATGCATAATCCATAACTGATGTCAAAGGAGAAGGATCATTAGACAGCACTACGGCTATTATAATAATTTTAAAAATTAAAATGTAACAGAATTAGTGTGTTAGCATAGGTATACACTAATAATACCAGCAATATGCTGTTACTGCATTTTTAAACCAACCAAATACTTAGAACCGCTCAATAATTGAAGAATCTTCACATGTTCCACTGTTGCAA